GTAGTAGTCACTAGTAGTAGTCACTAGTAGTAGTCACTAATAGTAGTCACTAGTAGTAGTCACTAGTAGTAGTCACTAGTAGTAGTCACTAGTAGTAGTCACTAGTAGTAGTCACTAGTCACTAATAGTAGTCACTAGTAGTAGTCACTAGTCACTAATAGTAGTCACTAGTAGTAGTCACTAGTAGTAGTCACTAGTAGTAGTCACTAGTAGTAGTCACTAGTAGTAGTCACTAGTAGTAGTCACTAGGGATGCATGTAAACTAGCCACCACTCAAAAATGCGTTAAACCCTGAAAATGGGACTATAGTAAACTCACAGTATATATACACTGATATACACCTCTTGTATACTGTATATCTTTTTACGTTACCCTTTTAATTAACGTCTAAATCTTATTTGTGGAATTATTCTATTTCTCAATCTGTACAATACCCTCTCAATCTATCGATCAGGTTATCAGTTATATATTTATAGTTATACAGTGGTACCTCGGTATACGACCTGCTTATATTTATAGCTATACAGTGGTACGTCGGTATACGTCCTGTTTATATTTATAGCTATACAGTGGTACCTCGGTATACGTCCTGTTTATATTTATAGTTATACAGTGGTACCTCGGTATACGTCCTGTTTATATTTATAGCTATACAGTGGTACCTCGGTATACGTCCTGTTTATATTTATAGTTATACAGTGGTACCTCGGTATACGTCCTGTTTATATTTATAGCTATACAGTGGTTCCTCGGTATACGTACAGTTTATATTTATAGTTATACAGTGGTACCTCGGTATACGACCTGTTTATATTTATAGCTATACAGTGGTACCTCGGTATACGTACAGTTTATATTTATAGTTATATAGTGGTACCTCGGTATACGTCCTGTTTATATTTATAGTTATACAGTGGTACCTCGGTATACGTCCTGTTTATATTTATAGTTATACAGTGGTACCTCGGTATACGTCCTGTTTATATTTATAGTTATACAGTGGTACCTCGGTATACATCCTGTTTATATTTATAGCTATACAGTGGTTCCTCGGTATACGTCCTGTTTATATTTATAGTTATACAGTGGTACCTCGGTATACGTCCTGTTTATATTTATAGCTATACAGTGGTTCCTCGGTATACGTACAGTTTATATTTATAGTTATACAGTGGTACCTCGGTATACGACCTGTTTATATTTATAGCTATACAGTGGTACCTCGGTATACGTACAGTTTATATTTATAGTTATATAGTGGTACCTCGGTATATGTCCTGTTTATATTTATAGCTATACAGTGGTACCTCGGTATACGTACAGTTTATATTTATAGTTATATAGTGGTACCTCGGTATACGTTCTGTTTGTATTTATAGTTATACAGTGGTACCTTGGTATACGTCCTGTTTATATTCATATTTACACAGTGGTACCTCGGCATACGACCTATTTATTGTTATACAGTGGTACCTCGGTATACGACCTATTTATATTTATAGTTATACAGTGGTACCTCGGTATACGTCCTGTTTGGTATAAGTCTAAGGTCATGGAACGGTTTAAGGACGTATACCGAGGTACCACTGTATAATTTTATTGGTCTATCAGTATAACTCATTTTTCTCTTCTTAACAGTGTATATCAGCCTTAAAAGCGACATATATATTGAGTAATCTGCATTTAATGGACACAATTCCCTGTCCCTTAACGCAGGGACAGGGAAATGTGTCCCTATACACTCAGATTACAGTCGTTCATCCTGGTCCATTATTCACCTTGGTTCTGCTTGCGTTTCTTCACGGCCTCCATCTTATTTATTAATATGTTCATTCGTGTTTGTTTCTCGTCTTCGTTTGCAGAGCTAAGTGCGTTGAGTAGTCCATAAGGTCCATGAGGCCTGGTCTCAGACCGAGCCACGGGGGCGTTGACCCCCGATACCCTCTCCAGGCTTCCAGGTAATCAAGGAGCAAGCGTCTAGTGAGGCCCCTCAACCACTACTCAGTACTCCTGAACAAGGGTCTACTGGGGCCCCTTAACCACTACTCAGTACTCCTGAACAAGGGTCTACTGGGGCCCCTCAACCACTACTCAGTACCCCTGAACAAGGGCCTACTGGGGCCCCTCAACCACTACTCAGTACCCCTGAACAAGGGTCTACTGGGGCCCCTCAACCACTACTCAGTACCCCTGAACAAGGGTCTACTGGGGCCCCTCAACCACTACTCAGTCTAGTGGGGCCCCTCAACCACTACTCAGTACCCCTGAACAAGGGTCTACTGGGGCCCCTCAACCACTACTCAGTACTCCTGAACAAACGTCTAGTGGGGCCCCTCAACCACTACTCAGTACCCCTGAACAAGGGCCTACTGGGGCCCCTCAACCACTACTCAGTACTCCTGAACAAACGTCTAGTGGGGCCCCTCAACCACTACTCAGTACCCCTGAACAAGGGTCTACTGGGGCCCCTCAACCACTACTCAGTACTCCTGAACAAGCGTCTACTGGGGCCTCTCAACCACTACTCAGCACCCCTGAACAAGGGTCTACTGGGGCCCCTCAACCACTACTCAGTACTCCTGAACAAGCGTCTAGTGGGGCCTCTCAACCACTGCTCAGTACCCTGGACAAGCTTCTAGTGGGGCCTCTCAACCACTGCTCAGTACCCTGAACAAGCTTCTAGTGGGGCCTCTCAACCACTGCTCAGTACCCCTGAACAAGCGTCTGGTGGGGCCCCTCAACCACTGCTCAGCATCCCTGAACAAGCGTCTGGTGGGGCCCCTCAACCACTGCTCAGTACCCCTGAACAAGCGTCTGGTGGGGCCCCTCAACCACTGCTCAGTACCCCTGAACAAGCGTCTGGTGGGGCCCCTCAACCACTGCTCAGTACCCCTGAACAAGCGTCTGGTGGGGCCCCTCAACCACTGCTCAGTACCCCTGAACAAGCGTCTGGTGGGGCCCCTCAACCACTGCTCAGTACCCCTGAACAAGCGTCTGGTGGGGCCCTCCAAACACCTGCTCATGATACCCCTGAACAAGCGTCTGGTGGGGCCCCTCAACCACTGCTCAGTACCCCTGAACAAGCGTCTGGTGGGGCCCCTCAACCACTGCTCAGTACCCCTGAACAAGCGTCTGGTGGGGCCCCTCAACCACTGCTCAGCATCCCTGAACAAGCGTCTGGTGGGGCTCCTCAACCACTGCTCAGTACCCCTGAACAAGCGTCTGGTGGGGCCCCTCAACCACTGCTCAGTACTCCTGAACAAGCGTCTGGTGGGGCCCCTCAACCACTGCTCAGCATCCCTGAACAAGCGTCTGGTGGGGCTCCTCAACCACTGCTCAGTACCCCTGAACAAGCGTCTGGTGGGGCCCCTCAACCACTGAATCTGTCAAACTGGTAACACTATACAACGTGTTAAACAAATTTGCATTGGTTTTCCCTAGAGATATGAACATCTGTCTCCAGAATGTTGAATGTGTAGTTCAGAATCCCGCCGTCTAGGGGGACTAGTTTGTGTGTGGAATAACGAGGTTAAAACTCTGGTAATCTCTAGTTTAACGCGGCAGTTCTCTCATTTATATCTCCTCACTCTCCTTCACTCAGTTAAACCATAAGGTTTTACGGTTTTTCTTTTACAAGGACGTTTTTGATAGACTACATGAACGTATCTGCATATAGTAGACTATGTGAACGTATCTGCATATATAGTAGTCTATGTGAACGTATTTGCGTATCTAGTAGTCTATGTGAACGTATCTGCATATCTAGTAGTCTATGTGAACGTATTTGCATATTAGTAGTCTATGTGAACGTATTGCATATTAGTAGACTATGTGAACGTATTTGCATATCTAGTAGTCTATGTGAACGTATCTGCATATCTAGTAGTCTATGTGAACGTATTTGCATATCTAGTAGTCTATGTGAACGTATCTGCATATATAGTAGTCTATGTGAACGTATTTGCGTATCTAGTAGTCTATGTGAACGTATTTGCATATCTAGTAGTCTATGTGAACGTATCTGCATATCTAGTAGTCTATGTGAACGTATTTGCATATCTAGTAGTCTATGTGAACGTATCTGCATATCTAGTAGACTATGTGAACGTATCTGCATATCTAGTAGACTATGTGAACGTATCTGCATGTCTAGTAGACTATGTGAACGTATCTGCATATCTAGTAGACTATGTGAACGTATCTGCATATCTAGTAGTCTATGTGAACGTATCTGCATATCGAGTAGTCTATGTGAACGTATCTGCATATCGAGTAGTCTATGTGAACGTATCTGCATATCTAGTAGTCTACGTGAACGTATCTGCATATCTAGTAGTCTACGTGAACGTATCTGCATATCTAGTAGTCTATGTGAACGTATCTGCATATCTAGTAGTCTATGTGAACGTATCTGCATATCTAGTAGTCTATGTGAACGTATCTGCATATCTAGTAGTCTATGTGAACGTATCTGCAAATCTAGTAGACTATGTGAACGTATCTGCATATCTAGTAGACTATGTGAACGTATCTGTATATCTACGTACCTCTTCCACCCTCCCATCTTACTGACACACACACACACACACACACACACACACACACACACACACACACACACACACACACACACACACACAACACACACACACACACACACACAATAAATACAAGTGTACTAGAACAAATTTCTTGGTGACACAATAGAATGATTTACAAGAGTAAGTATTATGGAAAAAAGGCACTTTGTAAATGGTCCAAGTTGGACTGCGACGTCTTCCTAAGCTCCTCTCTCCTACGTGCGCGTTATTTATCTATTGTAATACATATCTACAGGCGTAATTTCTATATCTGACTAGACTTATAAAACACAGAGAACACTGCTATGGTCCTGTAGCTACAAACACATAATCACACGTCCTCAAACATTGTCAGCCGCCATCTTTGACATGATGTTTATTCTTTTTCCCAGTGTGTGAATGTTTTGTGTTATGTTGCAGGTGAGCAATAAGCGTGAAGGGCAACACCAGAGAGATGGCTTGCTCCATCAAGGCTGTGGTCAGCTGCGGCATCTTCCTCGCTGTTCTCGACATTGTGAGTACATTCCCACTTGCATGTCTTACCGATTTCATGAAATGTTAGATTTTTATTCTTACTGCTATGCTCATCTAGTTTAAATATCAAGTATAAAGTTTAATGAACACCTGTCAATGCTGGATAATTCTGGGACCCTCTTCGTGCTATGGCTATACTCAGTGGTAGGCCCATGGCCATGCCAAAAATATTTTCGTACATAGTCCTCGAAAGAGAGGCACAGTTGGCACATAACTTGTTACTGCATCTTGTCCCTGATGAATGATTCCATTATCTTTCTTATACTGACAATCAATGACTTGTAAAACGGTAGAAAATAACGAGAATATGTACAGGGACATGAAAATAAGTCACTTTGACTTTTTGGGGAATATCCCGGTATATAATCTATACATATTTACTATGCGTAACATATGTGTAGATTACGTATATAAACTTATATGGAAAGTTGATTTAAGGTGTAATATACTGACCCGAAATAAGATAGGATCCGACTAAGACTTCTTTGGCGTCCAGGTATCTTAACCTACTAGTTTTAGAAGGCATTTGTATAAGGATTTACAATCAGTGGAGAAAAATCGAGAGTTCACTAATCCGTGTTCGTTTATCATTAATGTTAGTTTGTGTTACTTCCACAGCTCCATGGACTCTCCACCATTGGTTTCTTTGCCTACCGATTCATCAGTCACTACTTCTACCTGTGTCCTCGAGAACTGGACATCACATTCTGTCAAAATAAGATCTACATCTACGAACAGTGTGAGTACATCCACCTGTATGTGTGTTAATACCTATAGTTACCTATTTGAGATTGCAGATAGGGTGGCAAGAAATGGCTCTCAGTCCCATTTCTTGTTTACCAAGCAACTAACATCCTTTAACATATCTATATTTCCATCCTCTGTCTGGAACCGCTGCAGCAGTGTTCCTCTCAACTTCATTCCACTTCACATTATATCACTAGACATGTTTGTATCAGCAGGATAATTGAATAAGCAACTTCCAACCATTCCATCCTATTCTTGGCTCATATATGGTATATAAAGTCTTGTTTGCCTTGTTTATATCCAAGAAATGTGTCGTGAAGACACATTTCTTGGGGTTCCCAAACACAAAACTTAGCTTTAACATTCTTTTACATGAAGTCTTTAATTAACATTCACACGAACATATAACATTCACAAAAAACTTAAACATTCTTACACAAGAACCTTAAATATTCTTTAACAAGAACCTTCGACATTTTAAGGAAACCTTTCGTTCTCCAGGAGCTTGACAAGCATGGCAAAGCTCCTGGAGATGTTAACCAGGTCTTTAATGCGATCAAAAGAATAAAGCTCAATGAAGAAACTTAATTATTCCACTTTCCTGGTCCTTGATTCACGAAATCGTAATGACAAGATTGCAAACCATACCACGGGTGGGGTTAGAACCCCGCCCGTGGTATGTTTTTTTTCCTGATCTTGTCCGCTTAAATTCTTACTTAGCTTGCAGTCACCTGTGAATCTATTCTTCTCGTCATGTCCTTCACATGTATCAAGTGGAAGCCAGCTTGATACATGTGTCCACTCTGTCACCTAAGATAAGCTTGATAAAGCTCCTGGAGAGCGAAACGTTGCAACAATAAAATGTCACATTAGTTGCACTTGTGTCATTAACCTAACATATTAAAGGTAATTTTACCAACATTATTACAATTTATCGTTTAGTTATATCAAGACATTTACGTTTATTAGGGAAGGTGACAGTTCCTCACCTTGTGGTGTCCCAAACATCATAATTCATCCAGATATTCACAAATCATCACGCTTTCTTTGCGTATTTCTTGATTCATTGTAACATCTTCCTCGATAATGTAACTTGTAAATTACCTTCACGTGTGGAAGTGTCAGACGGCTTCTTGATTTAAAGGAAGATGTAATCCACGTATTTCTCTCCCGTATTTAACTTGTAAATTACCTTCACGTGTGGAAGTGTCAGACGGCTTCTTGATTTAAAGGAAGATGTAATCCACGTATTTCTCTCCCGTATTTAACTTGTAAATTACCTTTAAGTGTGGAAGTGTCAGGCGACTTCTTGATGTAAAGGATGACGTAATCCACGTATTTCTCTCCCGTATTTGCTTGTGCAAATAAAAATTGTATGATTTCTGTCATACGGGAGATAATCATGGTTATAAAATTATTTGCTGAGGAACTTACGAAATAATTATTAATACGAGGAAGCCATGAATTTATAAAATTAATTTTGGTCGTTTAGGGCCTACACAGCTGATTTTTGTTTACCTTTTACCAGCTGATTTTTGTTTACCTCATGCCAGCTGATTTTCGTTTACCTCATGCTAGCTGAATTTTTACTTTATGCCAGGTGATTTTTTTGTTTTGCATCAGCTGATTTTTGTTTATGTTGCAACAGCTGATTTGTATGCATCTTCCCTAACAGTGTTTACCTTACGCACGTACATTGGCCTGGGTGAGGGCGCCATTACTCCGTTCTTCGACATTATTTACATCATCGCCCTCGCTAAGGTATGTTACTGAACAATTCATTATATTCCTGTAATCTCAGAGTTTACAGTATAATGATTTTCATTAAACTGTAATAATAATCTTCAGATTATTATTATATGCATCAAGTGCCTGTCTCTCAGCGTATATATGCCGAGTTTATGTTAATCTCTGTTTTAAGGATTATAGTCTTATCTGGTGGTTTAAAGACATCAGGCAGCCTTAATGACCCTAGTTTAGTCTATAGGCTTTAAACCCAGCTAGTTACCCACAAAATATTGTAAAGAAAAGCTTTCCAGAATCTAGCTTTCCACCACCATCGTAAATTATGACCCAGTTATATCCAAGTATTTTGGTTCAGTAACCAAGGTAACATCTCAACACCATTTCTGTCAGCCTAAGTAATGGTAAATGGCGCAATTACGCTTCTTGTACCGTATACTATCTTCAACGCCTTTGGGAAAGACGGTCAGCGGGGGTTCTAAGAGTGCTGTTGCGGTCGCCAGGGAAATCTTCCTCTGGCAGTGTTTTTGCTGGTAGTTCCGCCTCGCGAACACTGCTGTTGATGTTGACTATCTGGGGAGTTTTTAGTCCGTTCTTGTCTTGTGTTGTAAAACGGGTAGATGTCGTTTGTCTTTAGTCCTTGTCTCTCGTCTCTGTCTCTCGTCCCTGCCTCTCATATCTGTCTCTCGTCCCAAAATCAAATCTCAGTCGTAAGGTCTCCCGGTCCATGGTAGGAACGCCGCTGTCCTCTTTCCTCCATACATCACTTTCACCTCAACAGATTGTATTTTCCATATACTATGTATTACACATTACCATAATTTTCCCCTCATCTGTGCCCTCAGCATTCCTCTTTCCCCTCACCCCTCACTGGGTTACGTGTAGCTTACTAGAGAGAGCATTCTACTCACGGGTAAACAATGGCTAATTATCTTACATACCTATTTCCCTTGACCCCTAGTGGTAAAGACAGGTGCTTTCCAGAACACTCCAGTCTTACTGGAACGTAATCCTGTATATAAACACCTGTACATATATGATATGCAGCGTCGATAACATGAACGATTAGACACGTGTGCAACATGACTAACGAAATCGTAATGACATGATTGCAAACAAACCATACCATGGGTGGGGTTAGAACTCGCGATCCAGTGACTAACGCGACGGTCTGGAGTTTTGTGATTCACTGACCGCGGGTTCTAACCCCACCCGTGGTATGATCTACATGTGCAACATCTGGGTATCTTTAATGGATGGCGATACGTCTACAGTAAAGATACCCGATGTTGTACATGTGTCTAATCCTTTGTTCCAGTACCTAATCTTAATATTGGGTAAAAGGTACCCGTGTACCTATTTACTTTAATTAAAAAAACAACATCGTTACACTGGCGAGGATGATGTATAGCTTACCTAAGATTAAATTCACAACCACAAGGTCCTAGGTTCGATTTCAGAAACGGTGAAATTATGAATGCTTATGTTTACTGTTCTAGGTTGCATCCAGGGGTGAAATTGCTCTTCAGATCTGTTGGGAAAAACTTGTTTTGTGTAAGAAAAAATCCAGGGTACTGGAAATCACTTCCTGCCTCAGGAAAACACCAGTCTTGCTGGAAGACAGCCTATGTTTGGAAACACCAGTCTTGCTGGAAGACAGTTTGTGTCTGGAAACACCAGTCTTGCTGGAAGACAGCCTGTGTCTGGAAACACCAGTCTTGTTGGAAGACAACCTGTGTCTGGAAACACCAGTCTTGTTGGAAGACAGTTTGTGTCTGGAAACATCAGTCTTGCTGGAAGACAACCTGTGTCTGGAAAAACCAGTCTTGTTGGAAGGCAACCTGTGTCTGGAAACACCAGTCTTGTTGGAAGACAACCTGTGTCTGGAAACACCAGTCTTGTTGGAAGACAACCTGTGTCTGGAAACACCAGTCTTGTTGGAAGACAACCTGTGTCTGGAAACACCAGTCTTGTTGGAAGACAACCTGTGTCTGGAAACACCAGTCTTGTTGGAAGACAACCTGTGTCTGGAAACACCAGACTTGCTGGAAGACAACCTGTGTCTGGAAACACCAGTCTTGTTGGAAGACAACCTGTGTCTGGAAACACCAGACTTGTTGGAAGACAACCTGTGTCTGGAAACACCAGACTTGTTGGAAGACAACCTGTGTCTGGAAACACCTGTTCTACTGGAAGTATTTAAATGTTTTGTTAACATTCATCCGTATAATGTCTATTGCAAAACTTTTTCGAGCACTAACGATGTCTTGTTCCCCACAGCACAAACCCTGAATGACCTGGTTGTGGCTTATCGAGCACTAACGATATCTTGTTCCTCACAACACAAGCCCTGAATGACCTGGTTGTGGCATATCGAGCACTAACGATATCTTGTTCCCCACAGCACAAGCCCTGGATGACCTGGTTGTGGCTTATCGAGCACTAACGATATCTTGTTCCCCACAGCACAAGCCCTGAATGACCTGGTTGTGGCTTATCGAGCACTAACGATGTCTTGTTCCCCACAGCACAAGCCCTGAATGACCTGGTTGTAGCATATCGAGCACTAACGATATCTTGTTCCTCACAGCACAAGCCTTGAATGACCTGGTTGTGGCTTATCGAGCACTAACGATATCTTGTTCCCCACAACACAAGCCCTGAATGACCTGTGATGAATGGTTTGAAAAACCGACAAGTTGAAGATTGAGACACTTATGCAGCATATGGGAATCTATATTCAGGTACATTCTACAAGATTGATGGACTGAACACATCGACTCCAGGCTGAGGGACTGATCACCTCATACTCCTCCTCTCCTTACGCCTTCCTCTTTGTATTGGACTGATGAAGCCACTGTGTGGCGAAACGTTTCCTGAATATAGATTCCCATATGCTGCATAAGTGTCTCAATCTTCACCCTGAATGACCTGGTTGTGGCATATCGAGCACTAACGATATCTTGTTCCCCACAGCACAAGCCCTGAATGACCTGGTTGTGGCATATCGAGCACTAACGATATCTTGTTCCCCACAGCACAAGCCCTGAATGACCTGGTTGTGGCATATCGAGCTAACGATATCTTGTTCCTCACAGCACAAGCCCTGAATGACCTGGTTGTGGCTTATCGAGCACTAACGATATCTTGTTCCCCACAGCACAAACCCTGAATGACCTGGTTGTGGCATATCGAGCACTAACGATATCTTGTTCCTCACAGCACAAGCCCTGAATGACCTGGTTGTGGCATATCGAGCACTAACGATATCTTGTTCCTCACAGCACAAGCCCTGAATGACCTGGTTGTGGCTTATCGAGCACTAACGATATCTTGTTCCCCACAGCACAAACCCTGAATGACCTGGTTGTGGCTTATCGAGCACTAACGATATCTTGTTCCCCACAGCACAAGCCCTGAATGACCTGGTTGTGGCATATCGAGCACTAACGATGTCTTGCTCCCCACAGCACAAGCCCTGAATGACCTGGTTGTGGCTTATCGAGCACTAACGATATCTTGATCCCCACAGCACAAGCCCTGGATGACCTGGTTGTGGCATATCGAGCACTAACGATGTCTTGTTCCCCACAGCACAAGCCCTGGATGACCTGGTTGTGGCATATCGAGCACTAACAATATCTTGTTCCCCACAGCACAAGCCCTGAATGACCTGGTTGTGGCTTATCGAGCACTAACGATATCTTGTTCCCCACAGCACAAGCCCTGAATGACCTGGTTGTGGCATATCGAGCGCTAACGATATCTTGTTCCCCACAGCACAAGCCCTGAATGACCTGGTTGTGGCATATCGAGCACTAACGATATCTTGTTCCCCACAGCACAAGCCCTGAATGACCTGGTTGTGGCATATCGAGCACTAACGATATCTTGTTCCCCACAGCACAAGCTCTGGATGACCTGGTTGTGGCATATCGAGCACTAACGATATCTTGTTCCCACAGCACAAGCCCTGAATGACCTGGTTGTGGCATATCGAGCACTAACGATATCTTGTTCCCACAGCACAAGCCCTGGATGACCTGGTTGTGGCATATCGAGCACTAACGATATCTTGTTCCCCACAGCACAAGCCCTGGATGACCTGGTTGTGGCATATCGAGCACTAACGATATCTTGTTCCTCACAGCACAAGCCCTGGATGACCTGGTTGTGGCATATCGAGCACTAACGATATCTTGTTCCCCACAGCACAAACCCTGGATGACCTGGTTGTGGCATATCGAGCACTAACGATGTCTTGTTCCCCACAGCACAAACCCTGGATGACCTGGTTGTGGCATATCGAGCACTAACGATGTCTTGTTCCCCACAGCACAAGCCCTGAATGACCTGGTTGTGGCATATCGAGCACTAACGATATCTTGTTCCCCACAGCACAAGCCCTGGATGACCTGGTTGTGGCTTATCGAGCACTAACGATATCTTGTTCCCCACAGCACAAACCCTGAATGACCTGGTTGTGGCTTATCGAGCACTAACAATATCTTGTTCCCCACAGCACAAACCCTGAATGACCTGGTTGTGGCATATCGAGCACTAACAATATCTTGTTCCCCACAGCACAAGCCCTGGATGACCTGGTTGTGGCTTATCGAGCACTAACGATATCTTGTTCCCCACAGCACAAGCCCTGGATGACCTGGTTGTGGCTTATCGAGCACTAACGATATCTTGTTCCCCACAGCACAAGCCCTGGATGACCTGGTTGTGGCTTATCAAATCCTTCGGTGTAATTGGTATCAACGTCTTCTACATCAGTGCTTGGATGGTTCGCCGTGGTAGCTACGATCACATTACCTACGTGCCTGAGGTGAGATACCTACCCACTCCTTTTCACATACGTAACTCAAGTAAGATTCGTACCCACTCCCAATCACCTATGTGCCTCAAGTGGGATCCCTACCCATTCCTAATCACCTACGTAGCTCAGGTGAGATCCCTGCCTATCCCTCTTTCATCTGGGTTGCGTATACCAATAGCATATACACATCTCTCAGTGTATATATACACACACTGGTAGTTTACATTAATCACTATTGTAGGTATTAAAGTATTCTTGACTGCTGGAGAATAGGTGACATGCGGTCTAGTAGTACAATAGGCATAAATACTTATTAGCTAACCACTTTCTACTGTTGGACAAAATTCCGTATTACTCGCCTTAAGTCAGGAATATGATTAGTTTTTACCGCCGAAACGGCTAGTTTGTGCACCTCATATCCATCCTGTGGATGGTAGTGGCTAGTTTATTGTGTACCTCATATCCATCCTGTGGATGGTAGTGGCTAGTTTATTGTGTACCTCATATCCATCCTGTGAATGGTAGTGGCTAGTTTATTGTGTACCTCATATCCATCCTGTGGATGGCAGTGGCTAGTATATTGTGTACCTCATATCCATCCTGTGGATGGTAGTGGCTAGTTTGTGTACCTCATATCCATCCTGTGAATGGTAGTGGCTAGTTTATTGTGTACCTCATATCCATCCTGTGGATGGTAGTGGCTAGTTTATTGTGTACCTCATATCCATCCTGTGGATGGTAGTGGCTAGTTTATTGTGTACCTCATATCCATCCTGTGAATGGTAGTGGCTAGTTTATTGTGTACCTCATATCCATCCTGTGGATGGCAGTGGCTAGTATATTGTGTACCTCATATCCATCCTGTGGATGGTAGTGGCTAGTTTGTGTACCTCATATCCATCCTGTGAATGGTAGTGGCTAGTTTATTGTGTACCTCATATCCATCCTGTGGATGGTAGTGGCTAGTTTATTGTGTACCTCATATCCATCCTGTGGATGGTAGTGGCTAGTTTATTGTGTACCTCATATCCATCCTGTGAATGGTAGTGGCTAGTTTGTGCACCTCATATCCATCCTGTGGATGGTAGTGGCTAGTTTATTGTGTACCTCATATCCATCCTGTGGATGGTAGTGGCTAGTTTATTGTGTACCTCATATCCATCCTGTGAATGGTAGTGGCTAGTTTATTGTGTACCTCATATCCATCCTGTGGATGGTAGTGGCTAGTTTATTGTGTACCTCATATCCATCCTGTGGATGGTAGTGGCTAGTTTATTGTGTATCTCATATCCATCCTGTGGATGGTAGTGGCTAGTTTATTGTGTACCTCATATCCATCCCGCGGATGGTACTGGCTAGTTTATTGTGTACCTCATATCCATCCTGTGGATGGTAGTGGCTAGTTTATGAGGTACATATGGATACACAAAAAGCCTATGGAATAGGCCTCATAAGAGCCTCCTACTCTCAGCTCATCGCTGGCAAAATACAGTGTGGATAATAATAATAATTAAAATAATTAAAAAATAATAATTAATAATTTTATTGGTGTGTTTTTTTGGTGTTGCCTTCTTTTTGAAGGGCTCTTGATCAAAGGAACTGGAGCTGCCCTTCACCTTCTAGGATCAAACCTGATTACCTCCCATTCCCCAGGCGTTAACTCCTACGATCTTAGCGCTCCCCCGTATGCTAATAATGTTGGAACTCTTCTGCAGGACTTTGAACGTGAGTTTCTGATGGCTGGCTGTAGTCTCACCCTGATTCAAGTCATTATCACAGTCATCTTCTGCATCATCGCCGGCATTTTCACCTATAAGGTAAGTGTGGTATGCCATAAGAATGGTACATTTTGTGCAGCGTAAGTCATACACCCATAAATACACCCATTAATACACCCATTAATACAGCCCTCCCAACCAGCGAACCAGGTGCTAAGATTATGGTTCAGAGAACCGACATGTTGTTGAATTAGACACATGTGCAACTCTTTGGTATCTTTATTAAGGAAACGTTTCGCCACACAGTGGCTTCATCAGTCCATACAAAGGAGAAACTTGAAGAACAGGAGGAGAATGAGGTAATCAGTCCCTCAGCCTTGATTCGATGTGGTCAGTCCATCAATCTTGTATAGAATGGAATTCTATTCTATTCTATTCCATCAAGATTGATGGACTGACCACATCGAGCCGATGTGTTCATTCCATCAACTGATGGTCATACTAGGCAGGTTCTTCAACCTCAGCCTCGACTGTCTTATATGTTGCTGCAAAGTTGAGGGACTGACAACCTATTCCGATTTCATCCATTAAATACACCCAGGTGTTGTACATGTGTCTAATTCCTCAAGAAAATTTTCCTGAACGCTGAGGTGTTACTGACTCGAATCCAGAAAAAAGTCACCAAACCTGATTGTGTTTTCAAATATTTCAAGTGACTTTTCCTAGCCAAAATTTTGAATTTTTACCTACTTTCTTTCCTGTGATATTTTTCAAATGACTTTTTTCCTAGTCAATATTGTGATTTTTTTTCTGTGACTTTTTTCCCGTGTTTTTTCCCCGGACACCACTGACTCTTGCTGTCTCCTCTCGGCAGGTAGCGGAGGAGAGAACCCGCAGCAGGAGAAGCCTACACAAAAGCCCAAAATTCCAGAGGCACATGAGGGCTTCCTCTGACGACGACGATGACGATAATGCTTCCACGATGCGTGTGACCGGGGAACGACACTTTACCAATCGTGGCCTGAACGACAGCACCAACAAACTGCCCATTCAGAGCAGCAACGGGAGTCTTGATCAGTCTGCCTGGCAAGATGTTGTCAGACCATCCACTACTGTCTAGGCAGGGCTAAGAAAGCTCTCAGCCAGACCATCCACTACTGTCTAGGCAGGGCTAAGAAAGCTCTCAGCCAACCAGCTGTAAATGCAGCCAGACATAATTTTAGCTGTCTACTGTTTACCTCTCTAGATAAACTCCAGGTAAACTCTAAGAGCAGTTTAAGAAACAGTAGATATGTCTAAATTGATTAAGATTGGTGTAAGACAAGCTAGAAATATTGAAAAATATACGTTTTTCTTTCAAGGAATAAGCTACAGGTACCTAAATAAGTGACATAAGGTACCTAACCTTATTTTACGGGTATATTGTTCTATATGACAAGTCACCCAAAGTATCGACCGTCACATCTGCTTGTGGTCATCAAGACATTATATCACCAATCGCTTGTTTATCAACTAAGGTGCCAAGCACGTACGTAACTGAGTTTCCAGTATCTTTCCCCCACTGTGTCTGGCTCGAGTGCAAATACAGCGCTGTATAGCCCTTGTGGTTTAGCGTTTTTTGATTATAATAATAAAATCGAGTGCAAATTACTCTGATCTTACAAGTATGAGGTTGATCAAGTCATACCTCGACAAGTTGTGGGTAAGTTCGACGTCTCCCTCTCACTCCAGTGTACAAAGACTGTTATATTATAGACACACTGTAGGGATTTATTTTATATTGTTTAAAATCATCATTTTGTTGATTACCGATGATGTGTGTAGAGGAGGAGGAGGAGAAGGAGGAGGAGGAGAAGAGAAATGGCAATAAATACTGATGAGATGGTAATAGTCAACTGGTAAGTGATGGAATCATTTGACGATACTAGTTCGTAATGTGAAGCCCACTGCGTGGGCGAAACGTTCTGGATAAGCGATCTTATGCTGCATTTGTTGGTCTTTCCAAGAGGAGAAGGAGGTGCAGAAGGTAAGGTAGGATAAGGTGGGATACATGTGCCAAAGATAGCAGCCATGAGATGGTCATGAGGCGAGGCCAGCTCTCAAGAATGTCAGTGATCCACCACAGTGATCCACCACAGTGATCCACCACAGTGATCCACCACAGTGATCCACCACAGTGATCCACCACAGTAATCCACCACAGTAATCCATCACAGGGTGTATACTACAGGGATCCACCACAGGGTAAATACCTCAGTGATCCACTACAGGGTAAATACCACAGTGATCCACCACAGGGTGTATACCGCAGTGATCCACCACAAGGTGAATACCACAGTGACTCACCACAGGGTGTATACCACAGTGATCCACCACAGGGTGTATACCGCAGTGATGCACCACAAGGTGAATACCACAGTGATTCACTACAGGGCGTATACCGTAGTGATCCACCAAAATGATATACATAGGGTAAATACCACAGTGATCCATCACAGGGAGAACACCACAGTGATCCATCACGGGGAGAACACCACAGTGACCCATCACAGGGGGAACACCACAGTGATCCATCGCAGGGAGATTGCCACAGTGATCCATCACAGGGAGATTGCCACAGTGATCCATCACAGGGAGAACATCACAGTGATCCATCACAGGGAGAACACCACAGTGATGTACCACAGGGAGAACACCACAGTGATCCATCACAGGGAGAACACCACGGTGATGTACCACAGGGAGAACACCACAGTGATCCACCACAGGAGATGGCTTTCGATCCTTCATGAAAACATCCCAGGCTGTAAAACAAGGGTTCCAAACCTCTTACTACTTAACGTTTCCGATACCCAGAGAATGAGACAAGTCAGGTGCTTACTTACACGCAGGTGACCAGCTTCCAACATTAATACCTACTGGTGACCACCTCCCTCCCTCCAGACCAGCTTCCTATATTAATACCTACTGGTGACTACCTCCCTCCCTCCAGACCAGCTTCCTATATTAATACCTACTGGTGACTACCTCCCTCCCTCCAGACCAGCTTCCTATATTAATACCTACTGGTGACTACCTCCCTCCCTCCAGACCAGCTTCCAACATTAATACCTACTGGTGACTACCTCCCTCCCTCCAGACCAGCTTCCAACATTAATACCTACTGGTGACTACCTCCCTCCCTCCAGACCAGCTTCCAACATTAATACCTACTAGTGACTACCTCCCTCCCTCCAGACCAGCTTCCAATATTAATACCTACTGGTGACTACCTCCCTCCCTCCAGACCAGCTTCCAACATTAATACCTACTGGTGACTACCTCCCTCCCTCCAGGCCAGCTTCCAATATTAATACCTACTGGTGACTACCTCCCTCCCTCCAGACCAGCTTCCAACATTAATACCTACTGGTGACTACCTCCCTCCCTCCAGACCAGCTTCCAACATTAATACCTACTGGTGACTACCTCCCTCCCTCCAGACCAGCTTCCAACATTAATACCTACTGGTGACTACCTCCCTCCCCTCCAGACCAGCTTCCAATATTAATACCTACTGGTGACTACCTCCCTCTCTCCAGACCAGCTTCCAACATTAATACCTACCGGTGACTACCTCCCTCCCTCCAGACCAGCTTCCAACATTAATACCTACTGATGACTACCTCCCTCCCTCCAGACCAGCTTCCAATATTAATACCTACTGGTGACTACCTCCCTCCCTCCAGGCCAGCTTCCAATATTAATACCTACTGGTGACTACCTCCCTCCCTCCAGACCAGCTTCCAATATTAATACCTACTGGTGACTACCTCCTCCCTCCAGACCAGCTTCCAATATTAATACCTACTGGTGACTACCTCCCTCCCTCAGACCAGCTTCCAACATTAATACCTACTGGTGACTACCTCCCTCCCTCCAGGCCAGCTTCCAATATTAATACCTACTGGTGACTACCTCCCTCCCTCCAGACCAGCTTCCAACATTAATACCTACTGGTGACTACCTCCCTCCCTCCAGACCAGCTTCCAATATTAATACCTACTGGTGACTACCTCCCTCCCTCCAGACCAGCTTCCAACATTAATACCTACTGGTGACTACCTCCCTCCCTCCAGACCAGCTTCCAACATTAATACCTACTGGTGACTACCTCCCTCCCTCCAGGCCAGCTTCCAATATTAATACCTACTGGTGACTGCCTCCCTCCCTCCAGACCAGCTTCCAATATTAATACCTACTGGTGACTGCCTCCCTCCCTCCAGACCAGCTTCCAATATTAATACCTACTGGTGACTGCCTCCCTCCCTCCAGACCAGCTTCCAATATTAATACCTACTGGTGACTGCCTCCCTCCCTCCAGACCAGCTTCCAACATTAATACCTACTGGTGACTACCTCCCTCCCTCCAGACCAGCTTCCAATATTAATACCTACTGGTGACCACCTCCCTCCCTCCAGACCAGCTTCCAATATTAATACCTACTGGTGACTACCTCCCTCCCTCCAGACCAGCTTCCAATATTAATACCTACTGGTGACCACCTCCCTCCCTCCAGACCAGCTTCCAACATCAATACCTACTGGTGACCACCTCCCTCCCTCCAGACCTACATCACTGTAGACCAGTATTTCTCAAAGTTTCCTCCACCATTAAGCCCACGTCTGCATAATGTATTTCTCCATTTACCTACATACAAAAACAATATCGCCATCATAAAGGGTCAGAAAAAGGCCAGAAAAATATTCAGGTTTGCCCCAAGGGGTAAATTTACCACCCAAGAGAATCACTGAGAATCACTGCTGTAAACACGTGGTTCGAAGAACCAAGCTGATGAGATAGAAACTTGTGGAACACTCGGGTATCTTTGTTTTGGAACCTTTACCCCAGACAGTGGCTTCCTCAGTCCAACAGAATAACGGTTGAAGACTTAGGAGTTTGAGGTAATCAGTCGATGTGTTCAGTCTATCAGTTTTGGTAATAATGGACTGGACACATCGACTCCTTGTTGAGGGACTGATTACCTCAATCTCCCGATGTTCAACCATTCTTCTGTATACTGGACTGAGGAAGCCACTGGTTGGCGAAATGTTTTCACAATAAATCTGCCGGAGTATTGTACACGTGTCTCATTTAACACATCACTGCGGGAACATTAAGGTGCCACCAACTTAAGTGTATTTTGTATATATTCCTGTGTATTTATTTATAGCTTTATGTATATTTGAAAAATTTCTATTATATATAGATTTATACATTAATGGATTGTCTATGTTGGCTATTTTTAATAATAGTTTAACGTAGGTTTAATGTCGTGTTCGATATTTCCTATTTGATCTAAGAAATATATGTGAGAAACATTTTTAATGTTGATTAAGAGTCAACGTAGAGAAAGTCCTTATAATTTACATTTGTATTTTTTAAATAAATGAATTATATGTATAACGTTGAGTTTTTGACCATTGTTGAAAAATGTCAATGGCCAGAATTAGAGATGAAAATGGGAAAATTGATGCCTAATGTGAGGTATCTCTCTCAGAATATGTGGTACCTCGGGTTACGAACCCAATTCGTTCCAGAAAACTGTTCGAGTGTCGATCTGTTCGAGTACCGATCTGTTCGAGTACTGAACGAATTTGTTCCCATAACGAATAGTGTAAAATGGATTTATCCGTTTGAGACCCCCAAAAATACACTAACAAAAGCACTTACAAAAATACATTTACATAATTTGTCAAGTTCGTATCCCGAGGTATCCAAGGATTGAATATGAAAATGGTATACAGATTTAACACACATTTGCAATAGACTTTGTAAATGGTCCAAGTCAGATCGAAACATCGGATTATATATTGCAACAGTTAGGAAAGCCTGCTAGGCAGGCGCATCTTTTCGGAATAAAGATACCCCAACTGTTACAAATGTCTTACTCAGTGGCGTGCAGAGGGGAGGGGGGTGCTGAAGGGGCGGCAGCCCCGGGCATCCAAATGGGGGAAGGCATCCAGTTAGAGAGGGAAATTAGTGATTTGGGGCATTCAATCAAGGAGTCTTAGGGGCATACAAACAAGGAGTTGGCCCTGGGTATCTCCACACCTCTGCACGCCACTGATCTTACTAAAATATTCTAGACTGGTGGAGAACAGGTGACATGCAGCCTTAATGACCCTCGTGAACTTCATAAACTTTAAACCAATTAACCAGAAAGGTTCAACAGACCGTCGCAAGAAACCAACTCTGCGAGACTCTCAGAACAAATAACAAGAAGCGCAAATAGTTGATCTTGCAATAAAACGTAATGAGACACACTTCAACGTCTGAGGTATCTTTATTGATGAGTAAGACACGACAACACCCAAGGTATCTTTATTGATGAGTAAGACACGACAACACCCAAGGTATCTTTATTGATGAGTAAGACACGACAACACCCAAGGTATCTTTATTGATGAGTAAGACACGACAACACCCAAGGTATCTTTATTGATGAGTAAGACACGACAACACCCAAGGTATCTTTATTGATGAGTAAGACACGACAACACCCAAGGTATCTTTATTGATGAGTAAGACACGACAACACCTGAGGTATCTTTATTGATGAGTAAGACACGACAACACCCAAGGTATCTTTATTGATGAGTAAGACACGACAACACCCAAGGTATCTTTATTGATGAGTAAGACACGACAACACCCAAGGTATCTTTATTAATGAGTAAGACACGACAACACCCAAGGTATCTTTATTGATGAGTAAGACACGACAACACCCAAGGTATCTTTATTAATGAGTAAGACACGAAACACCCAAGGTATCTTTATTGATGAGTAAGACACGACAACACCCAAGGTATCTTTATTAATGAGTAAGACACGACAACACCCAAGGTATCTTTAATGATGAGTAAGACACGACAACACCCAAGGTATCTTTATTAATGAGTAAGACACGACAACACCCAAGGTATCTTTATTGATGAGTAAGACACGACAACACCCAAGGTATCTTTATTAATGAGTAAGACACGACAACACCCAAGGTATCTTTAATGATGAGTAAGACACGACAACACCCAAGGTATCTTTATTAATGAGTAAGACACGACAACACCCAAGGTATCTTTATTGATGAGTAAGACACGACAACACCCAAGGTATCTTTATTAATGAGTAAGACACGACAACACCCAAGGTATCTTTAATGATGAGTAAGACACGACAACACCCAAGGTATCTTTAATGATGAGTAAGA